AGTAAACCTTTGAAAAAAATATTTACAAAGAAGAAAAGTGTGTACAGTGGCTCCCAACAGCTGAGGGTGGCTGAAGGCTCTGCGGTGACCCGGGCAGCTGTAATGGGAGGTAAGATTTCCATTGCTGCTTCTGAAGGGCAGAGCGGACCTAAAATGCCAGCCCAACTTTTGCATTTCCCTGACATGTCTATTTCCAACAATCCAAGCACTGAATCGCTCTAGACTTAATGTGGCTTGCATTGGAAGACAAGGCGGAGAGCCCAAGGGGAGATGTAGCAATTCTTATAGCTGTTGAATTGTTCTGTATTGATTACACATAAAAGCTATTTGGCGGCTCTTCTCTTTTCTCGGCCCATACCCACCCTTCAGCTTCTCACATCCCCAGATGACCCAGTAGCAAGCAACACAGAAACTCTCTAGGTGTCTTAATTAAACTTCATTGTAATATCACGGCCCTCAGTCAGGGATGCCACAGAAAGGATTTCTGACAGGGTGGGAAGATGAGCTGATGACCTCTACCATTGAGGTCCCTTCCAACGCTACAGTCTCTGATTTTTTTGTTACTTAAATGTTCAAGATGCAAACCCATCCTTTCATATTTATGGTTTACTTGATAAATGTTGACAACGTGCACATTTAGGAAAAGCTCTTTTAAAGTACAAAAGAAGACCAGTTTGTGAGTCTGCAGGCACAAAAAGCAGTGGGCACACATACACACACACACACACACACACACACACACACACACACACAACATTCTGAAATTGGGGTTTGATGAGGAATGTTCACTTCTGCTTTGCAAATATAAAATCTCATCTACAGACAAATTCTGAACATCATGTTATCACTGTTTTAGAAGACAATAGACTGGATGAACATCTTCTGTGGCAGGGCCCATAGACAGTTTTGTATTTCAAATGGAATAGTTCCCATCGGCCTCTTTTGCTGTTGTTCCAGGGAGAGCCCAGCTCAGGCTCCAGAGTGTGGTGATGTGGGAAGTGTGAGAGGCCACTTCGTTGTCTGATAAACACAAAATCTGACTTAAAAATAATTAAGTTTAATTCAGGAATAGCATAACTATAATGAAGTGGCTAATCTCTAAGTGTCCATCTCAGTACATTTTTATGTGTGTACCTGTTCCTGATCCCCACCCAATTCAAGGTATGGAATATTCCAAGCACTCCAGAAGGCTCCCCCCTTACCCTTCTCACTCTATACCGCTTTCCCAGGGGTACCACTGCTCTGATGTCTACTGCCATAAATTTGTTTGGCCTGTTGTTGAACTTCATATAAAAAGAATCATACAGCATATATTATTTTTCCAGCTTCTCTCACTCAACATCATGTCTGTGGGAGTCACTAGTTTATTGTACTTGAGTTGTGATTTTAAAAAAAGAAGACTCCTAGAAATTACCAACAGTCACATGCTTTTGAAACGGTCACTTGGCAAGCTGTCCTCGTGCCAGAAATGTGGCACCAATCCCACATGTCTGTAAACTCATTCTGCAACCTTCTTCATAGTCAGTGGGCAAAGCCATTGTGCACACCCGCAGGAGTGGTTTAGAGCTACAGTTAGTTTTTGACTTCACCCTAAACTCCTTGCTGTGGTTTGAATGCTTTTGTCTCCTCCAAAATTCATGTCAAAACTTAATCCCAGCATAAAAGTGTTGTGAGGTGTGGCACTTAGAAGATGCTTGAATTAGGGGTTCACCCTCTAAGGGATCAGGTATCTTTATAAAAGAGTTTGATGGAGGGAGTTAGTCATTTTCATCTCACCCTTTCTGTCATGTGAGAACACATGATTCTTCTTCCAGAAACCACTGTGTTCAAGGCACCATTTTGGAAGCTGAGACCAGGCCCTCACCAGAATGTACCTGCTGCTAATCTTGATGTCCTGACTCCAGAACTGTGAGAAATAAATTTCTATTGCTTATAAATTACCAACTCTATGGTATTTTGATATAGCAGCACAAACTTAGACACTCTTTTTTTCTTTCTAAGATTTGTTTCTAAGTCATTTTTGCAGAATAATTTTTTTCTCTCAAAAGGTAATTAGTACATGCTACAATGTGCTCTACATGGTTAATCTCATTTAATCTTCACGACACGCCTATTACCCCTACAACTAAAACATGTTAATAGAGGCTCACAGAGAATAAATAACTTGCCCAAGATTATACAAATTCAGATTTCAGAGCTGTTGGCTCTGTGGACTCTGAAGACTAATTTCCACAAATGTTCTGGATGATGACAATTCACCAAGAAGGAAGTAAGTGAATTGTGTCTCAAAGGATTACTTGTTTTACATTATGGCTGACTCTTGAAGAGAAAGAACTCTACCACTGTCCTCTGTGTAATGGCTGAGGCTGAGCAGCAGGACCCATCACAGTCAAGAAAGGGCAGGCCGGATAAAACTGGTAGGTAAAACTGGTGTGCTGAATCTGGGGAAGATACTTGAACATAGAGAAAGTACTGGCTCTGACTCTTAGGAGCTATTGTGATTTGGGGACAAATAGTTAACTTTTTAAAAGCCTTTGTCCCTGAGTCTGTAAAATGGAAATTAATAACGAATCCTATCTTGTGGGGTTTTGTCAGTGTTCACTGATTCATGTGAGGCACTAACATAGTGTCTAGATACAGTTAGTTATTAATAATTATTAACTCAGAAATGGTCTTCCACTTAATAAGAAAAGGCCTCCTGTTGAGTAGAAGATTCAGAACAGAACTTTATCAAGGTAACGTAACACCAAGGGAGAGTGTTAAGCGGGTTGGTGGGAATGTTTCTGAAAGTAAGAGAGGAATTACATTGGCAGGCCTATATTGGCTACTCATTTAATCAATTCATTTACTTCTCACAGCCAAAACACAGCCATTAAAAGGGTTTACTTGGATGCTTCCCTCTTTCCGTATTGATTCCTTTTCAGTGAAAATATTGATAAGTTTTTATGGATCGGGACCTTAGAGTTACTTAATTATTGATTGAAAACAGTTGCTCAGGCTGAGCAGGTGGGTTTTTACTTTGTTTAACAACTAGAAGAAACAAGCTGGGTTTCTGTAGGATAATGCTGGCGCCAAAGCCCCGCCAGAGCGGGCTGACCCGCAGCAGCGCTAAGCTTCAGCTTTGGGGGCTGCAGCCTCTCCATCCCAGGATGCTTATCTACTTGCTTTCTGTTTACCAGCCACTGGGAGGAAACCAGACAAAGCAGCACCACTGAAAGTGATTAGGCCCAATTCTGGGCTAAGTGGAAAAATGAATGTGGATTTGAAGTCATTTTTCGAGTCCACTTTATGAGCTATTTGGTTCACCTTTATTTGTGTAAGCCAGCTAATGTCTACCAGCACCAGTAGTGCCCTAGAGGACACAAAGATCAATATGACCTGTCCTCTGACCCTGAGGAGTTGGAATAGCTGTCAGGACTATAAGGTGAGCTTTTAAGTCATCATAGTTCAGGACACAAAGAGGTTAAAATACAACTAAAATATAGTGCTGTCAATGTTCACATGAGAATTTGTTTTTATGAAGTCAAGGAGAATCAAAGAAAAGTCCTCCTGAGAAAGTTATATTAGTTCATTGAACATGTGTGCAACATCCTGCTAGCTATTAAGTGTGGTTTGTACAGCTCCCCTTTTGTGATGAGACTCCCTGTTCCATGGTCCCTCCCAAGTTCAACCCATTTATTCACTGAAATTACCTGCCTGATTGTTATTGGCTTTTGAGGTTTTGAACATCTGCTGGAATTCACGTCTTTGAGGAGGTTATCACTCAGTGTGTGGAGTAGGATGGGATGGGGAGGGAAGGAGGAGGAGTGTAACTATTTTAATTTGGCTGAGAGAGACAAAAATACAAAATAAAGGCTTAAGCACGAGGCACATTTATTTTCTCGTAGGTTTAACAAAATCAGGAAGCAAGTATCCCAGGCCTGGACATCCAGAGACTCAAATAACAAGTTACTCCACCATCTTCAACTGTGGCTTTCTGTCAGGGTCTATTCCATCTGCTTCAACTTCCACCACCATAACTAATGTAGTAGTAGGCACAGGGAAGGATAAAGAGAAGAAAAGGAGCTGAGGCCCCCTTTGGATATTTCCTAGAGGTTGTACACAGAGTGTTCATATCCACTGATCAGAACTTGATCTCCCCAGCTAAAAGGGAGGCTGGGAAATATTGTCTTTATTTTAGCACTGATGCACTCAGCTAAACACCATGGATCTTACCACCAAAGAGGAAGTCAAGAAGAGATATGGGAAGATGCATAGAAGTCTGTGTCTTAGAGGATGTTGAAAACATGCATATATTTTCTTCTTGTCCTGGGTAGAAGGAGAAGGCAGGAAAACATGTAGTATAGGAACAGTCAAGGGTAGTGAGAGGACAGACGGAGCATTGAGGTTCAGGGAAGTCTTTATACCAGAGGAAACTGGGATTAGACAGTTCTAAGTAGAGGAAACTATCCCAAATAAATAAAGTCATAAAGATATGAAAGTTTATTGGAGGTCTAGGGAAAGCAAATGGTCAATTGTCGCTGATCAGAAAAATAGATGGAATCCTAGACAAGCAGTAGAAGGGAAGTCTGGACATATATATTAAAGCCAAATTATGTCTTCTTGATTTTCATCTAAGATGTTTAAGCCTTACTTTGTAGGTAATAGGGATTCATATATTATACACTTGATACCTTTGTCTCTTTCAATGTACTGGGTCTTCATCCTGAAGAAGACTGGATTGTGGCAGACACCAGCATGCAGGTATCATTGCCCCATCCCTTGCCCTTAGCCAACCCCCAGGATCTCTCCTTGTGTTCTTAGACACTAGAGTCTGAGTTGTCTTACTCATTCTTATTCCTGGCAGTTAGTACCAACTATCTGAATTTAGAGTAAATAAAACCTATTTTCCACCGGAATTGCATGATCTTCTTGGTTCTTTCCTGCTATGAAGTGTCAATCATCTATAATTCTCTAACAGAATGTTAAAATGAGGGCTTTTGATTCTGTTTCAGCTGAAATTCAGGTACAAAGCAGCAAGTGCCAGGAATGGTCTGTGTCCAAACAAGGGCTGACCACACACACTACTAGCTACATAGAGCCTGGTTTCATACACCCTAACACATCACACATCTGAACTGTATAAGAGAAAAGGAAGACTGGGAAAAAAATCAAGGAAGCATTGGAATGCTGGAATGCTAGAGATCATTAGAGCTTGTGAGTCCTGGGATTGGGGGACACAGTGGACCATTCTCTGGCAAATCAAACTCCTGAATGTGCTTAAAGTAATCATAGGGTTCAAATAGTTTTCTGATGTGATCTTGTGGAATCCTGTCCATTCAAAACAATGCTTCCAATTCTGTAAATACTTTCCTTTTACATTTATTTATTTTTAGTCTCTCTTCCTCCCAACATCCATGAAGATAGAGATTTTATTTCTTTCAGCAGGTGAAAGCAAAGTATGGGCACAATGAATATTTTTTGGGGGTGAATTAAAGGATTCCATCAGAAATTGTCATTAAAATATGACTTAGGTTTGATAGTCAAAGCCTCTGGATAGTGGATGGGGACAGTCCAGCCATTGTATGTTGGCTTTGGTGGGAAGTTAACAGAGAATCCTGAAGGATACAGAGAGCCCAGGGAGTCTCAGCCGTGTTAGGAAAACCTTCTTGTCCCACATAGAGCATGTGCATGAGAACAGGTGGTCAGAAATCAAGAGCAATCCGAAAAGGCAGTGCCAAGTGCACAACTGATTGTTTTAATAGTCCATCGCAACCTTGAATATTTTCATAGCTTGGCCAGATATCAGGACTCTGAGGACTTTGAGCTTCTAGGTAAAGATAGTTTCACAGTCCTTTATAACAGGTGTGTGGCTAGAAGAACCCCCATCCCAGACAGAGATGGAAAAGGTGGGAAGCCTCTAAATTATTCCATTAGCACATCAAAAGTAAAGAATCTTTAAATATTTAGAGTGTTACAAATGTTACATGTGCACTTTTTGGATAGCTGTGACGTCAGAGGACACATGTAATTAAGCCTCAGTTCTTCATTATGATTTTTTTTAAATGTTCAGGTTAAAACAGAACTGTTTGGCATGAACAACAAAAAACTTTCCCTCCTAATCTTTGGTTTTCATTTTCAGGGGTTCTTAATAATAATCACTTAGTGTGATGTACCGCTGTTCTCTGTTCATCACTTAGTTTTGAGCAGCTTTATTGACTTACGATTGATATGTAATAAATTGCACATATTTAAAGTATATAGTTTGGTACAGGCCTGTGAAACCATCACTGAAACAAAGATAATGACATATTCCCTCCAATGTTTCCTTGTGTACTTTTGTACTCCACCTCACGTTCCTCCTCACCCACCTCTGGTCCCCAGGCAACCACTGACCTGCTTTCTGTCACTATAGATTAGTTTGTATTTCTACAATTTTATGTACATGGGCTCATACAGGATGAACCCTTTTTCATCCGGCTTCCTTCACTCAGTATAATTAGAGAATCATACATGCTCTGTATATTAGGAGCTCAGTCCTTTTTATTGATGGACAATATTCCATTAAGTGCATGTAATGTCATGTTTATTCATTCACCTGGTGATAAGCATTTGAGTTGGGTCCGGTTTTTTGGCTATTTTAAACAAAGCTGCTATGTACACTTGTGTGAACATATGATTTTATTTCTAGGACTGGAATGGCTGCATCATTGTATTTTTGTATGTTTATTATGTAAGAAACTGCTAAACTATTTTCCAAAGGTGTTATACTATTTTACATTCTCATTAGCAATATATGAAGGTGGCAGTTCTTCACATCTCTTGCTAACACTTGGCATGGTCAGTTTTATTATTTTTATCTTTCTAACAGGTGTGTTTTTTTATTTATTTTTCTCTAGTGATGAATGATACCAATCATATTTTCATGTGCTCATTTGTCAACCATAAATCTTGAAGAGAAATCTGTTCAAATCTTTTGCACATTTGTTACCTTATTATTGCATTTTTAAAGACTTATTTATATATTATGGATATGCCTTTTATCAAACATATGATTTGAAGATATTTTCTCCCAGTCTATGGTTTATGTTTTCATTCTCTTACCAGAATCTTTTGAAGAAGAGAAGCTTGTAATAGCAATTTCCTATTTATCAATTGGTTCTTTCACATAACATGATTTTGTGTTGTATTTTTTCCCTTGGGAATTCCAATCACATATTAGCTTGCTTGAAGCTGTCCTAGTGTTTGTTGTTATTTTTGTTGTTTAGCTCTTTATTCCTTGTGTGTTTCATTTTGGATAGTTATTGCCATTTTAAGTTCACTATTCTTCTTTAAAAATGTTTAATTTGTCATTAAGTTCACCTAGTATATTTTTCATTTCAGACATGGTAATTTTCATTTCCTGAAGTTTCTGAGTTTCCTCATAATCTGTGTGTATACACACACACACACACACACAC